TCTCAGAGGAGTAAGACACTTTTTCCCTCTCTTCTGCCCTCCCTTGTCTTCCCTGCTTTGCTGCTCGGAGCCTTCTCTAAGTTTTCATCCGAAACCAGAAATTATGGATAGAGATTTTTTATTTTTATGGATTTGGTTAGCTGGGCTCTTAATTAATTTTTGGAACAAAGTTTTTTCTTCCATGGGAGGACATGTCAAAGGTGGGACCTCTGTTCTGCTCTGTTCTGGATATATATCTGGACTCCGTTCACTGGATTCTACAGATTGGCTTGGTGGTCTCTGGGTGTTTCTACAAAACAGCGTCAGTGGCTTTTCATCCCCTGGCTGCCTGACCAATATGAAGGATRGCCGTTCTATCAGCACTCAGATGTTTGCCTTGAGRGAGCTGGACTCGGTCTTCAAGCGGTTCTGCTGAGGGTCGCGGGCCGGCTGTGGTTCCTGGACTTTGCTGGCCAGATGGAATTGATCTTGGAGAAAACTGAGAGCTCAGCTTGGTAGAATTTGTSCACATTATTTGTCTGATAGGATTCACCACCTTGGGTTTTACCAGCGGACATGAAGGCAGATGGAAAATTGTTTTTGTCTGCCTGGCCGAAAACATTTTCTTCTGTTCCCAAACAACTGTTTACAGATTTGGCTCTCCCTTGAGCTGTGGAACTAAATCTTCCTGGATGTTTACGTCGACTGAGGGTGGTGCCCCCCCCCCGCCCCCCGGCCCGTCTGTGATCTGGTTCCTGGAGCAGGCTGAGGGCCGCACAGAATGAACAGTTAACATCCATATTCTGAACTATGGCTGTGCTGGTTTTGGGGACTGGATTCTTCGGGCTCATTCTTCAGACAAGCATACAACACTCATGGCTTCAGATACATGCCCCCCTAAACTCACTTACTCCTCTGGTTAATAAATATGCTGTATGCAGAGGTTTTTTTTTTAAATATAAACACCATAGTGTGTCACATTGTTGATATAATATGACGTTTTGTTTTTTCCTAATCTTCCCTTATGTGGTTTTTATTTTATTTATTTATTTTTGTTAAAGGTAGCACAATTGTATCTGTCTCTGTTGCTGCATAACCTGTTCACCTGTTCCCCCAAGTTTGTCTTGTGTGTCTTGAATGGATGTTCTTAACTGTTTGTACAGCACCTTGTGAATTTATTTCTGTGAAAGGCACTATGTAAATAAAATGTTACTTACTTACTTACAACAGGTTAGATGTTTATTGTTCATAACCCTTCCACAGAATCAAACTTCAAACTGTCATAAATCAAACTTTAGCAGAGTCTGAACATCAACCAGCCTCTGGTCTCACATTAAATGTATTAGATGTGTGAGCTGAGCACGCACCAAACATCTGCATCTCCCACAGCACGATGCCGAAGGCCCACACGTCTCCTTTGAAGCTGTAATAGTTGTTCTTGAAGTATTCAGGAGGGTACCAGCGCAGAGGCACACGCTGCTGCACAGAGCAGGGTTTACAGTCAGAGAAGCTGACACCAGCACCATATCATGTGTTCAGTCCTGGTTCTAAACAYTTTCAGAACATCTCTTAAAACTGGATGTTGGTCCTGGGACCACTGAGAAAACCTGTGATCCCTGAAAATCCTTCTACACACAAAACAGTTTATTATGTCCTGTAATGTTCTGAAGATGAGAGTAGGCACTGCCCACTTCACTTGCGTGTGTGTGTGTGTGTGTGTGTGTGTGTGTGTGTGTGTGTGTGTGTGTGTGTGAATGTTTTTTTTTTGACAAAAGAATCTTATT